TCCTGCTTGGGGTTCATTGGACTTCCTGAATGGATATATTTTCATCTTTCATCATACCAGGAAAATTCTCTTCCAACAAATCTTTGACAATTTTCTCTGTGGTTTTATTTGTGTCTTCCTGCTTTGGAATTCCAATGACACGTAGGTTATTCCTTTTGATGGTATCCCACATGAACCTTAGGCTTTCTTCATTTTGTTTTGCTCTTTTTTCTGATTTACCCCTTTCCAAAGAAGTGTTCAGATATTTGCCTTCAGTCTCCCTAATTCTGTCTCCCATTGATTCAATTCTGCTCTTTTGCCCATTCAATGTCTTACCTATTTCTGAAAATTGAGTATTAATCTTCCAGATTTCTGTGTGTAGATTTTGTATCATTTGTAATTTTTCATTTATTTTGTCATTTTGTTCTTGTATTGTCTTTCAAAATCATTCTAGGGTTTTCTATGTGTTCTCCTTGATCTGTCTCTCAATTCATTTAAGATACCTAAACATAATTCTTTTGAATTCCTTGTCAGGGAGTTCCGATGCTGTGTCTTCCTCAGGAATGTGTTTTGGGTCCATATCCTGGTCCCTTGTTTCTCCTGCTTTATCTTGCTTCTTTGTGTGGACTGTGATGCTGCTCTGTTGTCTCTGAGGCATTGTGACATTTTTGTGTTTATATTTAATTGGTGATTGTATGTCGGAGTGACTTGCCCACGATTTTCGTTTTCTTTATTTTGTTTGTATGCTACCCACACAAGCAGTGTACTGTGCTGTGCTCCTCTATTTGCTAGTGGGCAGCACTTACACATTCATCACCTTTCTTCTTTCCTGGTGAAAGCCTCTTGTATGTCTCTGCTGACTTTGGCAAACAGAGCCTATTCTTAGGTCCCTGGAATCCGAATGAGGGTGCTATCACTTTAAAATCCAAAATTGTTGCCACTTGTAAAGATTAATAATGGCTATGCCCTCAGTCACTTTAAATATCCAAAATGACTACCGCTTGTAAACATTCAAAATGGCTGTGCCCTCAGTCACTTTAAATATCCAAAATGGCCACTGCTTGCAAACATTCAAAATGGCTGTGCCCTCAAGTAACTTTAAATATCCAAAATGGCTGCCAGATGTAAACAATCAAAATGGCTGCGCCTTCTGGACAGTGGAAAGTCAAGAGCTCAAGTTGTCTCCCACCTTGCTGTTTCCCTTCCTAGTCATGGGCCACCAGTGCGTCGTCCCTGCACCCTTTGGTGACCAAGGCTGATCTTTTTTAGGTCAATTCTCAGGTCCCACCACACTTGGAACTATTCAGGCTGTTGGTCCCACTGGAGAAGCTGACAGTCCGCTGCTCTGACCATCTCTGTAGTCACTGTTTTCATTCAGGTTTTTCCATTAGTTGGTGCCTAATCCACTTCTGTATAGTTCTTTTCAAAGCTCAGGGCTCCAGGATTATCTTCTGTATCTTTGTCAGTTGGTTTTTCTTTTCTTTGTTGAAGAGGGTCTGTGTCGCTTGTCTGCCTATTCCTCCATCTTACCTAGTCATTTTGTCTTTGAATCTTAAGTATCTTAAGAATATAACAAGAACTCATGAAATGCCTACTGAATAAATGTTTGACTGTCTCATAGCTCATTAAGTCACAAGGCAGCCCATTCCACCTAGTGACAGTTTTAGCAGATAACTTTTCTAATGTCTCCTCATAACTTCTCTCCATCTGTTCTTGTGGAACTGCTGAGAATAAGTCTCTTTCATTTGACCTCTCTTCAAATATGTGAAGACACCTATGTCTTCCTCTCAGTCTTCTGTTTCTCTCTACATTCTCAATTATTCTAGCTGTTCTTCATTCATTCAGACATGATTTCCTGACACTTCATCTCTTCTTGAAGAAAAAAAGTATAACTCACTTTTGTGGCTCAACTTTCAGCCAAAGGACAGACAGACTTATAAGGTGAACAATAACACCAGGGAGGTATGCACTCATCAGAAGAGTCAACCATATGAGATCAAAAGGACAGCATTTGCCCAGGGATAAAGCTCAGAAGGAAGAAGGGATAGAAAAGGACAAAGGGAAATGGTAAACACAGGGAGCAAGTGGGAAGAATACTGCTACACTGTGGGGACTACAATGAATGTCACAAAAGAAAACGTGTATGTATTGTTAAGAAAAATGAATTTGCTCTGTAAACTTTCACCCAAATAAAAATAAAAATAAAAAATTGCAATTTTCATTTGTACAAATCCAGGACACAAGTGACTTATCTGGTATACCAGCACAGCTTGTAACTACTAGTGTGGTTGCAGCTACAAGATCTTACTTTAACTGAGTTCTGTTGTTCTAAAATCTTAAGAGTGTTCTTTGAAAATATATACTTACCTATTAAGGACTTTAGCTTGTTTGTTGCTATAAAGAATTATAAAAGAATAAACATTCCAAATATTATTCTTAATTAAAATATATTCAACCTTGACATAAATATGCAGCTCCAACTGAACTGTTGAGACCTTTTCAGTTTATAAGCAAATCATCTACTTACATTTGGAGTCAGACTTTTAGCAATGACAGGTCCAATCATTCCTGGAATAGTGGCAAATGTATTTGTGATGCCCAGGAGGATACCAGCATACCTGCGGGAATATATTCATAGAGGTTTATTATTTTGTTATGCAGCCTCTCTCAATAGCTACACCACTCCCAGGTTGTATTCATGTGAGAATTTATGTCTAAATGAAATGTCTTATTGAAATACTTAGCTGGTTTGAATATATACTTGGTGAAAAACTTGCATTTCAAAAGTTAACTAGCTTCCTAATATTATACAGGGTAACATGTCCATTGCAAACTATCCCTCATAAAATGATACAGAACAATACTGTTACATGATTTGCATACATGACTGTATCTAGTTCAGGTGAGTTATTTTTAAAAAAGAAGTAATACAAAGATCCCTTGTACATTTTGCCCAGTTTTCTCCAATGCTAACATTTTGTAAAACTAGTATAATGTCACAGTGGAGATATTGACATTGATACAATTCACAGATCTTGTTCAGATTTGCCCAGTTTCACTTGTTCTCTTGTGTGTATTATATATACTATGATACTATGTATAACAGTATATCTCAAAACTCACTGCCATGAGTTGATTCTGACTAACAGTGACCCCCAATGTGTTTCCAAGGCTATAAATCTTTATAGAAGCACACTGCCCTATCTTACTTCTGCGGAGTGGCTGGTAGGTCTGAACTACCGGCCTTTTGGTTAGCAGCCAAATACCTTAGGCACTATACCACCAGAGCTCCTTATATAACAATATATACTATTATACATATATATATATATATATATGTATGTGTATATATACACACATATGTGTGAACAAATATAAGAAATTAAGGTACATATTATAGTGAAACTAATATACAGTTTTATCACTCATACAGATTTGTGTATTCAGTACCACAGTCAAGTTATTGAACAGTTCTAATACCACAAGGATCCTCGTTTTGCCCTTTTATAACCAAACTCACCTCCTTCTAACCTCTGGCAACCAGCAGTCTGTCTTCCACTTCAAAAATTTTACATAAATGGAATCAAATGTTATGTGATCTTTGTGTTACATACTTAGGTCACTAAGGATCATTCCAAGTTGTTGTGTGTATCAATAATTCATTCCTTTTTATTGCTATTTTTTAACTGAAGAAACTGGGATGTCATTTAACATAGTCTTCTGTCTCCTATACACTTTTCTTGTATGCTGGTAGTACCTTGACTCTGGACCCTAAAGGGTTCCTTAGATTTGTTTGATATTTTTGGCAAGAAAACTTAAAAGGTGGTGGTAGAGTTTAGTTATGAAAAATTAAGTTAACTAAGTAAATGGCATTTATTAATTTATTTTTCTTAAAAATCACAAATATAAGGTGTTAAAGTATATCTTATACTGAAATTAATTAATTAGTAATAATCACAAAGTCCAATTACAGCTTTTAATTGTTCATAAGATAATTAGTGTTACTGTAAAATAAAATCCCAGTCAAAATTAAAGTTTGATGTTTTACTTGTCTATGTTGTTGTTGTTGGGTGCTGTGGAGTTGGCTCCGACTCACAGAGACCCTATGTACAACAGAACAAAACACTGCCCAGTCCTGTGTCAGCTTCACAATCCTTGCTTATACCTGAGTCCATCGTTGCAGCCACTGTGTCAATCCACTTTGTTGAAGGCCTTCTCCTTTTTCGT